ATACTGGGAAAGCAGAGCCTATCTGCTGGCGGGAGTGAGCGTTACTACAGTCGGTATGGAAGTCAGTGCAGAGGTTCCCTAACAGATAACCAGGACGACCATGTGACCCTGCTAGTCCACTCCCGGGCATACACCCAGAGAACTGCAAATCCTACCATGGAGATATGTTCATATGCATGCTTATTGCTATTTTATTTTTCATACCAAGGAAAAGAATCCAACCTAGCTATCCATCAATAGATGAGTGGATAATGAAAATGTGCTCATATACAAATGGAATATTATTTATCTATAGAGACAAATGAAATAATAACATTTGCAGGGAAATGAACGGACTTGGAAATTATAGTATTTAGTGAGTTGACCCAAACTCAGAAAGATATGGATCCTAACCTACAATGCATACATGTATAGTTGTAAGTTGGGGCCATAGCATAGAACTACGAAAGGAGACCAAACCAATGATAGGATTAGATTATGAGAAGGGATAAAATACAAGCAAGAGTACACATGTCATGATAGAGTAGAGAAAGCTTTATTTTTCTTTTAAAGTTTCAACTCTGTAGTAAACTTTTTGTGTTTAATAAGTGAATAAAATGTAATTGATAGTGGTTAGGGAGATGTCTCAGCAGTTAACATTGGCCACTCTTCCAAAGCACCCACGTTCTAGTTCCACATGGTAGCTGACAACCATCTATAACTCCAGTCCCAGGGAATCTGATATCCTCCTCTGTGGGTACCAAGCATGTCTGTGGTGCACAAACATGTCAAGAAAAACCACCAATACACATAACATAAAATAAAGTAACTGATAAAGAAAGCTCGGCACCCTGAGTGATGCTCCATTGCTTCAGAATGGCCATTTTCACTGAGAAGTCCACTGAGATGTACGGAGCTTGGCATGGGATACATGTTTGAGTGGCTTCCTTAAACCACCTGTATGAGGTTTTTGTGAGTTAATTAGAATAGAGTGATTTTTTTTTAAAGGAAGTATTAAAATAGGAGAAACAAAATACAAAGATATAAGAAGGAAAAAATTAAATTAGGACAGAAATTAAATAAAAGACTAGAAAACTAGAGAGAAAATAAGTGAAATAAAAATTTAGTTTTTTGGGCTGGAGAGATGGCTCAGAGGTTAAGAGCACTGAATGCTCTTCCAGAGGTTCTGAGTTCAATTCCCAGCAACCACATGGTGGCTCACAACCATCTGTAATGAGATCTGGCGCCCTCTTCTGGCCTGCAGTCATATATGCTGTATACATAATAAATAAATAAATCTAAAAAAAATTTAGTTTTTTGATATGATCAATAAAATTGACAAAGCTATTAAGAAAATGGACTTAAATTACTGAAATAAAAAAATTAAAAGGGGGTGTTCATTCTAATTCTGTGGGGAAAAGGTTGATGCACAGTTATATATCAACCAATTGGAGAGCCTACATGAAATGAACAAACTCTGAAAACATAATAACTACCTCAACTAAATCATGAGAAAATGGCCTAAATTCTAAATAACTATTAAGGAGATAGAAACAAAAATTAAAAATCTCCTGACAAAGTGAAGTCCAGATTCCAATGGCCGCCAGACCAACAGAACCAAACACTTAAAAACTTCAAACCAATCCTCAAAATTTTCTGAAAATTGAAGACATTACTTCCTAACTTAGTCCGTGAGACCAGCTGAATCACCCTGATGCCACAAAAGGATGCTACAAGAAAACTATAGCACAATGTCCGCCAAGAACATTGATGCCCAATTCCTCAACAGAGCCCAGCAAAGCACATCTGGTATTAAAAGGGCAATACATTATTCCTAGAGTGTAAGGATTTCCTAACCTGTAAAACTGACTGACAGAAAACATCGCCTTAACAGAATGAGGAAAAAAACAGCATGATCATCCCAAAGCAAGCAGAAAAGAAACTTGGCAAAATTCAACTCACTTTCACAACAAAAAGATTCTATGAACTAGCAACAGGAGAAAACCACTTCAACATAACAAAAGCCACAGATGGAAAAATCCACAGCATAAGGTTGAAAGCGCTTGCTCTTAGCTGTCCTAAAACAGACTCATTCTAAAATAATTCTGTTTAAGCCAGTCCTGGCAGTTCTAGTCAGAGCAACTAGGCCGGAAACAGACCAAGGGCGAAGGTGGAAGGGAAGTGGGAGATGGCTGCGCTCACACGCTGCAGTTCTGGTTTGTGGCAAGCACCGTAAAACAGGTGTTCAGCCTCCTAAACAAATTCAGCAACAGCAAGCTAAATCAGTTGCTATGGACAACCTGAAGAGGAAGTTACCACAATGATTCAATTTTCAGTAACATCACAAAAGAACAAAAGACTTTGTGTACCAGGCTTTTTCTTTTGGGCTACCAACCAGCTCCCAAATCATGACAAGGAGACTTCTTATTGGTTATGAATGCTCAGCCTAGCTTAGGCTCGTTTCCGACTAGCTCTTTTAACTTAAACTAACCTGTTTCTCTTTATTTACCCTTTGCCTCAGGCTTTTTACTTTTCTTTCCTTCTGTGTAGCTTACTTTCCTGCTTTTTGTATCTGTCTGTCTAGTGGCTGCCTGGCTTCTTGCCCCAGGTGTGATCTCCCTCATTCTCTCTTCTCGTTCTTCTTTCTCTTGTTCTTTTTACACCTCAATTTCTCCTATTTATTCTCTCTTCCACCAGCCCCCACCTATCCCTCTCCTTCCTACCTATTGGCCATTCAGCTTTTTATTAGACCAATAAGGTGCCTTAGGCAGGCAAGGTGAAACAGCAACAGCAACACATCTTTTCATAATTAAACACACATCCTTACATTGTTTTTTTTTTTTTTTTGGTTTTTTTCGAGACAGGGTTTCTCTGTGTAGCTTTGCGCCTTTCCTGGAACTCACTTGGTAGCCCAGTCTGGGCTCGAACTCACAGAGATCCGCCTGGCTCTGCCTCCCGAGTGCTGGGATTAAAGGTGTGTGCCACCACCGCCCGGCCGATTTTGTATAATAAAAACTATAAACTGTTGGGGGTCTGGAGAAATTGGTCAGTGGTTAAGAGAGCTTACTGCTCTTACAAAGGACCAAGTTCAGTTCCCAGCACCCACAATCATCTGTAACTCTAGTTCTAAGAAATCCACCGCCCTCTTCTGGCCTCCATGGGCACTGCACCCATGTGGCACACATGCATATGTGTAGGCACACAGTCATAAAGTCATATAGTCTGGCCTCCAGTTCTGACACTTTTTCTGTTACAGGTCTACTATAAGTAAAGGGCCTTGGCTACTGCTAAACCTTCCTTCCTCAGTGGACTGGGACACTTTGAAGCCATGAATCGAAATACATCTTTGCTCCCATAAGCTGTTTGGATGGGTGTCTGTCACAATGATACAAAAGTGAGTGGCACTCTAATGAGTCACATCTTCTGATTTTAACACTGTTACAAAGCTATGGTAATCAAACTAGTGTGTTATTAACATATATATGGACACAGGGACCCATGAATAGAAGAGAGACACTGGAAATAAACCCTTGAAACATGATCAAATCATTGTTGACAGGCACGCTAAGTCTATTGGAGAGCAAATGACAGCCCTTAAACAAATAGTCTGGAGAAAACTTGGCAGCCACATGTGAGAGAAAGAAACTGAACCTTTACCAACACAACATAAAAAAAAGTAACTCAAAAAAGCTTAAGCATAAGATTCACAACTGCAAAATTCTTACTAGAACACATAGCAGAAAATTCCCATGATACCGGGGTTGGCAACAATTTCTTGGCCATAACACCAAAGGCATAGACAATAAAAGAAGGTGGGATAATTCAAACACTATCCATTAAAAGATTACAAGGTAATATCAACAAATTAAAAAGGCAACCCACAAAACGGGAGAAAATATTTGTAAATCATTAAGCCAATAAAGAATTAATACTCAGAATATTCTTTCAGATAACTCCTGAGGCTCAACAAGAAGAAAAAAAATTCATTAAAAATGGGCCCAGAGGGCTCTTCACAGAAATCCTACTCTAGGGACAGTATGGGCTGCTCAAGCATCAGGGCCTCTGTATAGGGAGGGTGAAGTGAACCCCGGCACTGAAGTGGAACCCCGCGGCGAACTGGGAATGTCTGACAAATACGACTGGGAGTGTGGTAGAGATGGGAGCCACACTTGCCCTTTGCACCCTGTGAGAGGGGTTGGCTTCCCAGCCTGGAGTCAAAGAGAGGCCCGTTTTTACCATTCCAGTGTCTGTCCAGAAGAGGGGACACCAAAAGTCTTTCTGGACATAGAAACATAAGATGGGGAGGTGAATTTTTCTAAGTGGCAAGAAACCAGAAAAGACCCACAAACATTGGCTGTTTTTTTTTTTTTGTGTGGTGTGTGTGTGTGTGTGTGTGTGTGTGTGTGTGTGTGTGTGTGTGTGTGTGTAGGGGGCTAGCACCAGTGTGTGCACTTGTGAAGGCAAAAGACCAGCAGTTCATGTCTTCCTGTTGCCCTCCACCTTGTTATTTGAGACTCAGTCTTCACTGAATCCATGGAGCTCACCAATTCCACCAGAGTGGGTGCCCAGTGATTTCCCGGGATCCCTGTCTCCATCTCTGCACTGCTGGGATTACAGGTGTGCACCATGCCCAGTTTTTCACATGGGTTCTGGGGATCCGAACTCTGGTCCTCATGCTTGTGTGTCAAAAAGACAGCGTTCCCTGTTCTGTATGAGGATAGGGCACTCTGCTCTCCAACTAGGAAGATTCCCTTAAGGGGAGGGATTGCAGGATCCTCCCTGGCACTGTCCACAGGCTTTCTCAGGACAGGCGCTCCCCCAACATTGGTGACAGCTACTGTGATGCTTAGCAGAATTTCACTTAGCAGCTCCCACTGACTCTGTCACAGTAGGTTGTAAGAAGGCCACGTGTGGGTCAAAAATGTCTTGGCTATGGGGGCCCTCGAGTGCTAGGACCTGTCTTCATACTTTATTCCCAGAGAACAAGCAGAGAGGTGACAGATGCTGCCCAGTGTCCTCACCTGGATAGATCCTGAAGAACCCAGTTGAACTGCCAAAATACTGCCAGGTCAGCGTAGGGTCTCTCTGGAAGTTCTCCACAAACACAGGGTTCAGGGCCTCGGACATATAGACTCCATTTAAAATGTCTGGGTCTGAAAGTGAGATCACGGAAGGAACTTCAGGCGGAGTGACGTTAGATGCCCGTGCCTCAGCCCACACGTGTAAACACGGGCAAGCTTCCCCTGCTTCCCTTAGGACTGCACCAGGCTCACATGCGGCCCATGCTCACTAATCCAGAGCATCAGCTCTCTCCCAGCCCACGTGCTGAGGTTGGGATGTGGCATGTGTGTGTGCTCCCAGAGTTTGTGTTTGGATGTGTGGTGCTCCGTAGAGTCATGTGACCAAGGATGGGGGATAGAGGGAGGTGATTGAACCATGGTGGGTGCTGCCCTAGGGCAGAGTTTTTAGAATATTATGGACTCTGGTGAGTTCTCTTGAAAGGGCTGCTGTGGAAGAGAGAGACCTGCTTTCCCACTCTTTTCCTGCTTCCATGCATAGTTGCACCCCCTTGCACAGACCCCCAGCATGACACCCTCTGCCACAGTGGAACGCAGCCAGGGACCTCACCAAAGCAGTGCAGTGCTGGCTGGACTCAGCTTCCCAAACCTTGAACTAGGGAAACCTTGCCTACGCTATTCAGCTTCTGGTATTTTGTCATAGCAACAGAAAACAGAACACTCCATGCATGTATGGAATCATTTCTTTTCTCATCCCATCAAAGAGGTTGGAGACACAGCCAATGCCCTGTAGGGCTTCTTGGAAACATTGACACAGAATGTTCAAAGCCCTTCAGGACCCCCAGGCCACCCCCTAGACTACCCAGTGGTGAGGGTCCAGGCACCTTTGTTATACACGTTGGTAGGTAGCTGTACACTGCTTAGGGAGACATTCACCCTCTGGTTGCTGAAGTGCGCGTCGGACTCAAGAAGGAACTCGGCTCCCAGCTCCACGTAGTTGCCCTTCTCGTCCTTCTCATTGATTAGTACCGAGTTGTAGTAGTTAAACTGGGGAGAGAGGGGGACAGGTCCAGAGGAGACAGCGAAGGCGCAAAGAGGGAGAGCGAGTAAAAGAGAGAAGGAGAGAGGAAGAGAGGGAGGGAAGCAGGAAGCGCCAGAGGACCGAACCCGAGGCCAGGCTGGGCAGGAAGGGTTGGTGGTGTCCAGCTACGCTGCACTTGGCAGAAAATTCAGGCAAAGAAGGGGTGATGAGGTCACAACATCCATCAAGACAGCTGGATCTGAGGGCTCACTGGCTGGGTGGGGTCCAGTTGTCCCAGTCATCATCGCTTTGATTCTCCACTTGGCTTAGTGTGGGTGGAAAGTCACAAGCCAGAGACAGATCGAGACTCAAGCAGCCAGATGGATGCAAAAGACGGTGTCAGCACCATCCGTTTCTTCCAGTGGTGAGGGTCCTAGAGACCCAGATGGTTCAAAGAGCCTCTGGGGCCCTGCCCTGCTAGTGGGCCTGTGTCCTGCTATTTCCTCCCCCCACAGGGCGGGAAGGCTGTGACCCAAGGGACCACAATCAGACCCACTTTCTTCCCTTACGCCTCCACATCACAAGCCTCATACCTTGATTCCCTCTAGAACTGTGGCCACAACACCCCTCCCAGCTCCATCCTGATGCCCTCTGGTCAATATTAGCTTTGTAAGCTCAGATCCAGCTCTGTCCCTCCCTGACTCCAGCTCTCACACACAAGCTTGGGCCATCTTGGAAGAGGGATCCTAAGTTGAGAAAATGCCTCCATCAGATTGGCCCGGAGGCAAGTCTGTGAAGGTATTCCTTGATTAATGATTACTATGGGAAGGCCCAGTCCACTGTGGGCCGTGCCAACCCTGGGAAGATGATGAATGGTTGTATAAGAACGCACACGGAGCGAACCAAAAGAAAAACCCCATAAGCACTTGTCCTCCATGGGTCTGCTTCAGTTTCTGCCTTGATTTCCTACCTTGGCCTCCTCCAGTGATGGACTGTGATTGTGATATGTAAGTCTAATAAACCCTTTCTTTCCCAAGTTGCTTTTGGCTGTGGTGTTTACCACAGTAAAGGAAAACAGCCATGGCCCCCAGTATCCAAGATCTTGACCCTGGCCTCTCTCAGTCGATATCCCATCATACTCTCCCCTGGACTTAGAGGGTTTGTTTCCACTGTATCTTCATCTGACCTGTGCCTCCTCCGGTCTCTCAGCTCAGAGACACTCGTTTGTGCCTCAGTTTCCCAAGTCCCCTCCCAGGGGTTATCCCTGCTGAACCTCCCCTCTCCCATCTGCGTCCCAGTGCTTGCTGGCCCACCACACATGGTTACAGGATACCTTCCCTGAGAGCCTCAGGAGGCGGAGAGAAGACCTCGCAGGCAAAGCTAGGGCACAGCCTGGCACAGGGGCATAGCCTGGGCGGCTGCAGCTCTGTTCCCCTCACAGCTGGTACTCCAGCTGCCATAGGGTTGGGGCAGAGCCAGCCAGCCTAGCATCCACTCCCAAGAGGACTTACCACCAGAGAGGCATTGAACTCATGGTTCAGGTCAGCCTCCTCAGCAGCCTCCACCAAGCTCTGAGGGAGGGAGCAGGAAGGGAAAGGAGAGACACCATCACTTGCTGTCCTCAGCCACCCCAGCCCAAGCTCCCTGCTCTGTTCCTCCCTCTTCAACTCTCTGTTTCTTCTCTTGCCTTCTCAGCCAGGGGGACCCACCCTCCAGGGTTCCTAGGTGCTCTGAGGTGTGCAGGTGACCTCATCCCCAAATGTCTACAAGGCCTGGCTAAGAACAGGAGGTGTCCCCTTCCTTGAGCGACATGCCTAGCCTGACACCTGTGGTGACCTTGGTTAATATAACACACTCTGCTGTCCACCCAGCCAGGAGAGGACCATCTACAAAGAGTGAAGTCCCTGAAAGGGTCGTCAGGCCAGTGCTGGGGAACGGGCAGTGGCACCTTGACAGCCTCGACTTTCCTCCTAAGCATGGTCTCCATGTCCTCTGAGAACTTCTTCACCAGCTCCAAGCCATCCACCTCTTTGATCTTCAGACTGGATTCTGCATCCTTGTACTTCTGGGCAGGACAAAGTGGAAGGAAGAATACCCGAGTGCACCAGGGCCATGCTTGTCCTGAAACCTTACCAGCTCCTCTACAGTACGCACCCCTGACCTCCTAATCACAGTCTTAGGCTGCCTGTCTTCAAACGGCCCTCTGTTCAGGACTCCAGGCCCATGGAAGTTATTGTCCTTAATGGGAGTTGACTGACATTGGGCAGCAATTAAACTTGACACCAGTCAGAGCCAGTGAGCTGGCAGCTCGGACACGGGAAGAGAGGGAGTGCCAGTAGCCCCTGTCCTTGCTCTGTGTAGTCCACCGCGTCCCTGACCCCTGCTGTGAAGGCAGCTGAGAAGCAGCCTCAGTGTCCGTTCACCTCTGCCCAGCTCCTGAGAACATCACGTCCTGTGTTGGGCTTGCATCCCACTGAGGGACCCAGCGCAGCAGTTCCCAGAGTGATGCCTGTGAGGCGGCTAGTGGAGCCTAGGAACTGGCTTCAGATTCCCGTCTCCTCAGTGAGTCACCACTGACTCTTGACCAGCCTGTAACCTGCTGGCCCTGTGATCTTAGCAAGGTACTCAGTGTCCTCCTCTGTAAGATGGGATGCATCTACAGCTTTGTTCGTTTGCTTGTTTGTTTACTGTGTAGTTTTGGTGCCTGTCCTGGATCTTGCTCTGTGGAGCAGGCTGGCCTTGAACTCTCAGAGATCTGCCTGCCTCTGCCTCCTGAGTGCTGGGATTAAAGGCGTGCGCCACCACTGCCTGGCCTGCATCTACAGCTTTTGACAGTGCTATAGAATGCACATAGTCTAGAGAATGCTTTCACCCACAAAGACTACACAATCCTTCCTCGTCTCCCTCCCCTGGGGCTGGAGGGTTCAAACAGGAAAATCAGACAAGCTGTTGTTCACAACAGAATAGGATGTTGTGAGGACTCCTGGAGTCTTAAGCCTGTGAGAGCCCCCAGGGCCCACCCTGGCTCCTCCCACTTTCTGCAGCACAAAGGGGATGAGGAAGGGCAGCAGTGTGCTCAGGGCTGGCGTAAAAGCCGGGGATCCCCATCCTTTGCAAGATGGAGAAGATGACTCTCGGAGTTGTGGTAATTTGAATTAAAGCCTGCAATCATCTCTTAGGTTCTGGGGCCAACAGAAGGCCACATGTCCAGGGAGTCAGGTCCCAGGAAAGGATGCCAGCTCCTGAGCAGGCTGAGCACAGGCCAGACATAGATCTGTTCTTGGGCACTTAATTAACAAGGGCAGCTGGGTTGCCCTTCTGTCAGGCCCACTTCTGCTGGGAGCCAGGCATGGGCTCAGCTTGCCAGGGTGCACAGGATGCAGATCCCTGGGCACAGCCTGGGTTCTGGGGTTCTCTGGAACTGCTCTGCCTGTAGAGAGGAAATTGATACCTGCTGCTTGCAGCTGACACTCCTGGGCTGTCTGTTGTCCCTTCTGCCCCACCCCCATACTCTGATCTGCTCTTGGCTCCTTCCCAGGCATCCACACCGAGCTCCGATTACCCACCCAATAAACCCCTTAGGTCTAATCTGTCCTTGGTTTCCCAAGATCTGAACTGACAGAATGCTCTTGACCTCACTCTGTCCACACTGGTATGCTGTAGGAGTGAAGCCTTCCAGGGCCCCATCTGAATACGATAAGATTGACAGAGATGGTCTCTCAGACCCCTTACAGCTCTGATGCTGGGAATTCTATCTCCCTGTGGGAAGCGACCCTCTGACCATGCTGGAGTTCCCTGGGAGAGGCCACTGACCTTCTGCAGCAAGAGAGAGCCTGAGTATCTGGTCACCGTGTTGTACAAATTCCTGCCGAAGGTATCGGCCCATAGCTTCACTCTGCAGGACAGGAAAGCCTATGTGTACGTTCTCATCATGATCGGATGTCAGATCCTCAAAGGTGACAGCCACATCATGTACATGCAAAGCAGGCATCTCACACACAGACACGCTTGTAACACACACACACACACACTCACACACACTCACACATGACCAACACCCAGCATTCCTGTGATGGTTAGCTTTTGCCAACTTGACACAACTTAGAACCACCCAGGAAGACAGTCTCAGTGAGGGTCTGTCTACATTGGGTTGGGCCGTGGGTGTGTCTGTTGGAGGACTGTCTTAATGAACTGATCTGGGAAGAGCCAGCCCACTGTGGATGGCACCACTCCCTAGGCACCAGCCCTAAACTGTGTAACACTAGAGAAACTGAGCAGAGCACAAGTGAGCAAGCAAGGAAGCATGCTCGCACTCGCTTCTCTGTTCTTAACTGTGGATGGGATGGGATGAACTGTTTCCAGTTTCTGCTGCCTTGCCTTACCAGCTGTGGTGGACTGTAACCTGGAACTGTAAACTCCCCCTTTCTATCTGAAGTTGTTTTTGTCAGAGTGTTTATCATGATGACAGAAAGTAAACTAGAACAGCTCCTATCCCCCCAAAATTGCAGCCTGGACAGGGTGAGAAACGGTGGCTGCTCTAGGGTGTGGTGCTGATAGGCTCAGAGTGGACTCTAACCTCATGGTCTCAAGGACCTTTCAGTGAGAAAGGAAGGAGGAGGGAGAGTCTGTGGAGGTCTAGACTCGAGGGGAACGCCCTGAACCAATCTGCAACTTCCGGAGCCAATCTGCACATTTCAATAGTCAGTCCGTGACTACTTGAGTGTCTACTCAAGACTATGGGACACCGACCTGTTGAACCCTCAAACAGTGGGGCCAGGACAGAATGACCCCAAGTGCCTGTCTGGAGTAGGACAGGCTAGGAGGGTAACCTGGTTGGGACCCTGACCCCCTCCTTCCTTCCTAGAAGGTAGGCTCCCAGGTCTTGTTTGGGCCGTATAGCCAGAGCAAGTGTGGCTCCTTTAAGGTAAGCAGTATCCACCTGCACTGGCTCTTACTGAGGTCTGACTGCATGTCACACTATCTCCACAGCAGCCATGGACTGTTAGGGACACGCCTTCCCGTGGAGTAGAGTGGTACTCCTTTGCAGGAGGATGGCAATGATGGAGAGGGACGAAGTGGAGGAGGCAGGATCAGAGTTCAGCATCTACAGTGAGATGGAGGTTAGCTTGGTGAGGAGATTCGGAAGAAAATTTTAAGTGGAGAGCTTGGAGGTGTGAAAAAGGACTTCAAGGCCTCCAGCTTGGCTTGTTGACCATTGCTGAGAATGTAAGGCAGGTGGCCTGAGTGAATCAAAGAGAGAGGAAAGTCATGTGTGTTGAATGTTAGCTTCTTGACACAAGGCTAGTGAGTATCATCGGGTCAGTTGCACACTCCATAACTTTAGGAGCCACAGAAACACTGCACCCTTGACAAGCTCCCATGATGCTCAGAAAGAAGTGTGCACAGACATTGAGTATGGGAGTCTGACAGGTAAGAGACTGGGTGGAGCCATTAAGGACATGAGTAGGATTGAGACACAAAGGGCAAATGGACTCTTGGCAAGGAAAGTGTGTAGAATGGGTTGATCTGTGATGACAGGCCGTGGAACACCCATAGTTTCAGGGACTTGCAGATGGCAAGGTTCTATTGAAGGTGGCAGAGGAATCACCCAGGAGCCCATGGGAAGCCAGTCACTGTGCTCCAGGAATCAAGGTGTGGGGTATCAAGAGAAAACAAGGTGTGGGGGCTACAGTCGTCACCAGGAGGCTTTTGGCACCCTTGTGTAGAGTAGATGTGGAGGGCAAGTGGCTATGGCTGAAGGATGAGTGGGAGGCACAACAGGACAGAGGTGGAGGACAGCAAGGGACCCAGTGGGAGAGGGAGAATGGGTGACAGAGCTCTGTCCTTCTGGGACAGGAAAGCAGCAGCAGGGCTTCATGGAGGTGGCTGTCCCATGCTGCTCTTGAGGTTTCTGTGTTGATTGCCTCCCTGGACGCCAGCCATCTTTTTTTTTTTTTGCCCTGCTGCTCAGAAGGGTAAAGGAACCTGCCTTCTGAGATAAAGACTGCTCAGCTTCTGCAAGGCTATAGGGAATGTCTCAAAACCCAGGCTGGCTCAGCAGCACGGATCTCAGCACTTTCTTCTGTGGGCCTGTGATATCACCTCCCCCACCGAGAGACTGCCTGGGCTGAAGGCATCATTGGTACAGTGCTGAGCAGAGCAAGGAGGGGTCACCCAGTGTCACAGAAGTCCACTCTTCCCAAATCTCAAACACTGCTTGCATGGGTCTCTGTCCTGCCAGCTAGGCTCTAGCAGTTAGGCCCAGATGTGAACTGTGAAGAGTCAGTCTAGGATGCTTGGAATGTTCCAGACCAAAGAACAAACACCAAGAGAGATTATATTAGATGTAAATGATGGGTGCCAATTCTTTCCAAACACCAGTCTTAATGGCTGGGTGTAGAACCAAAGCCTTAAAGGAGGCAGGGAGGTATAGAAATAATGAGACCATTGGAACTATCCTATCTGCGTTCCTAGACAAGGCCCTGCTGTTCGTGGGCACCATCCTGCCTGTCCATTTACAGCAGCTTTACCTTTTCTCAGTGTCCAGGCACAGATCACCCAGTGAGTCCTTAGGAGCCACAATAGTCACTTCTAGAACCCCTGCAGGCCAAGCCCACCCCCTCTTGTAGTTAACTTCCCTGCTGGATACCTGTGCCCTCATCAAACCCTGACATCAACCACACAAAGCCAGAAGGCAGGGGCAGGTAGACTCCAAAATCAGCAAGGATTTGAGGAGGACAGGGGTCAGGAAGGGAAGGGTCTCTCAGAGGCAGGGCAGTTGGCCAGAGGGAGGAAGCCACGAGAAGGGTCTTCAGGGTAGGATCCAACCCAAGGCTCACGTTTCCAGAGGAATTCTGGTCTGGCCTCTCACAGCAGGAAGGGAGGTGTCCAACAGCAGCAGCCACAGAATGATTGGCATCTTCCTCAGGAGGGTCCAGACTGCTGGCCACTGTCCGTAATGGTCCCAGTTGTGGCTGGAGGGCAGAGCGGAGCATCTTGGCATGGTGCTTGCACCATGAATGGGGAAGGGGAAGACAGAGGCCCTGCTGGGAATGCACCTGCTGCCACTGGTCCCTGGGTGTGCAGGTAGTCTGCCTGCTGGCTGGTCCCAAGTAGAAGGCTCTGCCTCCCGCTGCAGCTAACACAGGAGCAGCCCCAGGCGATCAGGGGCTTTGCTCCTGGCTGTCCCGAGGCAGAGGCAGTGAGCAAGCACCCCCTCTAATCCAGTGGCCTCTCCTCTAATCCCTTCTTGTTACCAGAGGAGGGGTTGATGCAGGAGTGGGGTGACCTCAGCAGGATTACCCTGATTGCGGCTCTGAGCAGCTGGGCCAGCTCACCCTTCTGCTCCAAAGAGGCCATCCTGTGTCCACAGAACAGCCCTGAACTCCATGGTATGAGGATGCCCCACTCTAGTAGCTGAGGTTGTTCAGAGCTAGGCCCAGACCCGGAAGGACTCTCATTACCTTCTGAGCATTCCTAGGAGGGCATGGCTAACCTACTGTGTGGGGCTAGGCTTTGTGGGCACTGAGAGGGAGAGAGGAAAAGAGGTAGTGTGGCTCATGTTTCCAGGCCTGGAACTTTGGGGCCAGCCAATCAAGGCCAGCAAGCACAGGAAATACCTTAGCAACCTGGAGGTCCACTTGCCTGGGAAGTACACATCCTCCTTTCTTACAATGCACTTGGCAGCCTGGGACCTTAACCTCACATGCTGTGCACATACACCTCTCTGCAAGCAGTGCTACTCACTTGAGAGGGTTTTTTTTTGTTCTTGTTGTTTTCCCCAAGACAGGGTTTCTCTGTGTAGTTTTGGTGCCTGTCCTGGATCTCGCTCCATAGACCAGACTGGCCTCGAACTTATGAACTCACATAGATATCTGCCTGGCTCTGCCTCCCAAGTGCTGGAATTAAAGGCATGTGCCACCACCACCCAGCTCACTTGAGAGTTTTGATCTGCTCCAAGGAAAAGACAAAAGTTCCCTATCCCCTCCCCCCTCCCCACTAGAAGTCACCACTCCACTTTCTGTCTGATTTTGACTGCCTCATTTTAGTAAAATCATGTCATTTTCATCCTTTATCACCGTCTTACCTCACTTAGCACAGTGTCTTTAGTGTACACATGTCATGTGTGCCAGAACACTTTCTTTTTAGGTTGTATTACTCCAACACAAATATATATGTTTTGCTTGTCTATCAGCCCTCAATGGGCCATCTGGTCAACCACCACATTGGGCAAAATCCTGTCCCCCACTCCGCCCCCAGATTACAGCCAGCCTTGGGGTTCTTCTGCTTGCCCCTCATGCGCACCTCTGGAGGGTCATTGACATGAACACCCCTTGGAGTCTAGTACTCTTTCCCATCCTTGGACCCACCAGCAGGAACCCACCGCAGGAGCCTGGACAGCAGTCTGACATGTAGTTGGCCCTCCATGTAGTTGGCCTTCCACCCTGCAGCCTCAGAGCCCCGTGCTGGCCCTTGGGAGGCCACCTCCCTTTACTTCCCTGTCAGCTTCAGCTGGCGTCCTTTGGTCACTGTCCTGCCTCTTCTGCCTTCCTTGCATCTGGCCTCCCCAAGAACTCCTGTCAGTCATCTGTGCTTGGGTTGTCTCATGAAGCCCCTGTACTTCCTGTGGCTCTTCTCTGACAGCGGGCCCCATCCCACATCAACCTGTATTTTAAAAACTCTGGGAATCTTTGAAAATGTAAGTCTTTGCTCTGCTCAGGGGACCCCGTGGCTGTCCCTGACATAAAGAGGTTTTTAACTACAGGTCACAAGGTCCAGTGCCCACTGGGTCTGGCTTCCTCTGTGCTTTGGTCTCCCTCCCTGCCCTGGTCCCTGCTGTTCCTTAGGCACATTGGGTGTGCTCTGCTTCAGGGCTGCCTCCGCCATGGAGTCTGTGGCCCCCTCAGGGGCTCTGCCTGCAATGGTGCCTTCCCCTTCCCATGGCTGGCTCCCTCCCTTGGGTCAAGTGGCATTAAGCTGGGTCTTTCAGTTTGCTTTCTGTTACTGTGACAGCAGACTTGAAATGGAATCTCTGGTTTCTGTCCATGGTCCTGGAGTCAGGATGCCCAGGAGCAGGATGCTGGAGTCTGGTGAGGCCTGTGCTGTCTCGCACACCACAGGAAGCCAAAGAGAAGTGGGGCTCACACACACACACACACACACACACACACACCATGGAATCCATTTTATGTTGGCTAGGTAAATATTCCTGGGCATGGGGCTTGCCCTGGAGTGTGGTTAATATGCCCAGTGACACTCCATTAGAGAAAACCAGTTTCCCCATCTCAGCAGATATCAATAGCAAACAGCCTCTTGGTTAGAGCTGGGGTTTTGTATTCATATCCTCTTTAGAGGATTTTTTTTCCCTCCTCCAATGTGGGTGTATTTGCAGTGGTTTTACTAGTTGAATGTCCCTAGTCAGGGATTTAAAATTTGAAATCTGAGATGATCTGGTCAGAGCCATCATTTCAGAGTCTCATTGCTTAGATGAGACCATCCTGATTTATTTTTGTTTTTGAAACAAGATCTCATGCATCCCTGGATGGCTTTGAAGTCACTATGTAGCCAGTGGTGGCTGAGAACTCCTAATTCCCCTGATTCACCCTCCTGAGTACAAATGAACACACACATACATGCATACAAAGGCCTGCATACACACACATACACTAGTGTGCATGCACACAAGCACAGGAGCATACATATGTGTACAAACACAAAGATACATGCATTCACACACATTTACATGTACACACATGCTCGAGCATACGTGAATATACACAAACATTTATACATGTATTTATACACATGGACACATGTATGCACACTATATTAGTTACTTTTCTGTTGTTGTCATAGAACATCATGGCCAAGGTTACTGAATAATGAAAATTCAATATCTCACCAGAAGGCTAGAGGCAGATGGTCCCAGAATTGGTTAATGCAGGTCAAAGGTGTTACCAAGGACCCAAGTCGCTTGCGCTGTCATCATCTGTCATTCTTTGAATTTTGGATTGTCTAGATGCTGCCATTGTTCTAGGCACTGCACACACATAGCATCTTGATGGAGGAGAGTGACTAATCTGTCTGTAGATCTCTTGTGTCCGGTAAACAAAATACTGCAAAACTGCCCAGGTTTAGAGATAAATAAAAGACTTCTGTTTCTCTGTCTTTGGGCAGACAGCATTCTCCACCCATGCTGGAGGCAGCAGGGAATAGGACAGCATGTCTAGGTCAGAGCCATCACAGTTCCCTCCTGGATGGGGCTGAGGCCACCCCCCCCACCAAAGAGAATGTAGCTACACAGGCAATGCCAGAGTATCTAGAGTGTGCTAGAATGGAAGCAGTGTGGGGAAGGACAGCTGCCTGCCACCCACCCCATCAGGGTGCCCACAGTGTGTACACTAGGCCTCCTCTTTAGCTAGTGAGCACCCCTTTCATAGGCCTTAGGGATGTAGCCAGTGAAGCTCCAGGGACAGCCTAGACCTGCTAAGTTCAACCTCCAAGGTGTGGGCATCCTGGCTTCTCAGGTGTCTTTGGTGCTGGCCAATGGCTGGAAGCCAGTCTCCTGGCTTCTTACATGGGTTCAAAGTGTTCTGCCTAGTGTCAGGTCATTCAAGAGAAGCACTGCAAAGGGCGAGGTAGGTGGTGGATTGTGGGAGCCTGAGCTTCTATATTAGGATGCCATCAGTTGTAGAGACAAAGGTTTTAAATGCTTGTGGATTGGCTGGGTTGAGCATCCTCTTGCCACCTGTACAGTGGATTCATAAAGGGACACTGGCTTGTGGAGGCAAGGTCACAAGGAAAGCTGTATGTCTGGTGTGAAAGGGAGCAGGTACATGTGCATCATAGAACACGGTGGCAAGAAGTGGCTGATTAGATACATGCATGGCAACAAGGACAGAAAGGAGCATTTGGTGGGAAAACAGAATCAAATTCATAGCACAACAGCATTGACAGAAATGAAAAATACAGGGAAAGATTTCTCATAGTGCAAAAATCTCTAATAGAAAAATTATAACGTATTTCATTAAGATGCTGAGCATGTGCACTATGTCAAGAAATGCTATTAAGAGAGTAAAGGTAAACAACAGAAGGCAAGAAGGTGTTTCTGTCCTAGCCAACAATGATTCATGTGAGAGTTTATGAAGAATTATAACCAAGACGGAAAAGCAAATGGCCCATGGGGAAATGGGCAGATATGTTGGTCATGCTTTTCCCACAAGCTCATGTACAGTCATTCATCTGCAGCAGCAGGAATACAGAGGGTGAGCCATGCCCCACCAGAGTGGCTGGAAGGACAGACAATACCTTGCTGTGATGTGGATGTGTAGCCACTGGAGTTCCTAGGTGGCCCAAGGAAGAGTCTTGGGGCTGGAGGACATCTACAACTTTATGTCCCCCAGCTCTATCCTTGGGAAAAAGTAAACTGAGAGGGCCAACACGAGTTCTATATAAAAAGTGTCCATTGATTTACTCATAGATGTCAAAAGTCCAGGAAAACCTAAGGTTTATTGAGGTCCAACAATTCAAACATTCATACAACTGAATACTATGAAGCAAAGCGAATAAACATGGTGATGAGTGAAGATGTCAGATAATAAAGTCTAATAATCACATTTATATGAGCTTCAATAAAAGCATCAATGACAGTAGGAGTCAGGCTGATAGCAGCTCATGCTGGGGAGCTCCAGGAACTTACATACATGTCCCTAAGTCCAGCTTGGAAGAACTTGTGCTTCAAATCTGGCTTTAGTCTCCAGCTGAAAATAGCATTAGCATCGTCAATGGGCCCAAACCCTATGTCTTCCCAGAAACATCTGATATGCCACCAGGGAGTCCCTGAAGGTCACCTGTTAATGCAGGAAGGGCCTTTGCTTTGTGGAACTCCAGAAGCATGGTTGCTTTGAGTTGAATTGTGTCCCCTCTTGGACACACATGTTGAAGTTCTGGCTTCAGGACTCTGGAGTATGTCCTTATTTGGAAACAGGATTACTGTCATCGATC